CGAGCCGCAGCCATGGTCAGGGGGACCGGGGCATCGGGCTCCAGGGGGGCTGCGGCCGGGGAGGGCGCCGGGACGTGGGGAGGGCGGGCTGTGGGCAGGAGGGCGCCCGGCGCTCCGGGGAGTGGGTGAGCTGCGCTGGGGTGCCCGCGGAGTTTGAGGGTTCGGGCTGCGCTCCAGCTCGGGATGCAGGGGTGTGGTCCGGAGGGGACCTGGGACCCACCCGAGAGGCGCCCGCCCAGAACCGCAGTCCCCGCCTGGCCGGGACAGCCGGGACAGCACGCTCCCGCGCACAGGGACCTGCGGTGACCCGGACCGCGCAGGTTTCTCCAGTGCAGAACGAGCCCCCGAGGCCTGGGGAAGAGGAGCCAGTCTCTGGGTTTCACATAGGGACTGCTCCGCTTCAGCCTTCAGGGAGGAGGATAAGGCTGCTGCCAGGCAAGGCCTTTCAAGCCCTGACCCCGCTCACAGCCTGTGTCTGCCCCCACCAGCATGAGTGCGTCTCCATTCACGTGGGCCAGGCTGGGGTGCAGATGGGCAACGCCTGCTGGGAGCTCTACTGCCTGGAGCACCACATCCAGCCCGATGGCACCATGCTCAGCAGCAAGAGCCTGGGATACAGAGATGACTCCTTCAACACCTTTTTCACTGGGACAGAGGCTGGCAAGCACGTGCCCCGGGCTGTCTTTGTGGACCTGGAGCCCACAGTCATAGGTGAGTGGGCAGCGCACATCTGCCAACCCCGACGTCGGCCAGAAGCTCTGCCTGGGGGAAAGCACCCGGGTGCAGGGGGTCCCTGGCCAAGCACAGCACCGAGCCTGAGTCTGTTGCTCTTGCCTAGATGCTGTCCTCAGGAGGCTCCTGGGGATTCCTAGGCTGGGAGGACAATCGGAGGCACAGTTCTGCCGGGAAAATACCAGATGTTTGAGTCAGAGCCAGACTAGAGTGGAAGCATACAAGCAGAAACTTTGAACTTCCTTTGCCCAACCCTCAGGCCCTTGAGGATAGCTTTGCCTGAGGGATCGGGAGTGGGGAACATCCTGACAGCTCCCTGCTCACCTAACAGAACCGAGGCCACCCGATGGGGCTGGGCCCCTGTGAGCCTGACTGCTGCTTGCTCCCTGGGCTTTTCTGCTTCCCTCCTTCTCCCTCTGGAGCTGCTCAGGTTCCGTTTGTGGAGACGGTTCCCTTCCCCCACCTTTCCGAAGATGCTGTGCAAGAGGTTAAACAGAGGACTGGGCTTTTTCCTTTAACCTACATTCTTAACCTAAACAGAAGTGAGATTCCTCTACACTCTGAGTCCTCCTAAGCAAATGAAGTGGCCGTGGTTAACAGAAAGGCCTGTAAAGGTGCCCAGGTGACACCAGGCTTTGGAAGTGGCTTCCGGAGCTCCGGGTATCCATTACTCTGCTGTGCAGTTACACTCAGGGGAGCTTAACAACAGGTTGTGACAACAGAGGGCCAAGGGTGCAGCTCAGTGGCACAGCACTGCCTGGCAAGCTCAAAGTCCTGAGTTCGATCCCCAATACCAAAAACAAAAACAAAGCAACAAAGGTTCTAGGGCCTTGTGTTCCTTGGGGAATGAGACCAGCCTCTCTTACCTTCGTCCCCTCTTTCTCTCAAGATGGGGTAAGAACTGGCGCTTATAGGAAGCTCTTCCACCCTGACCAACTGATATCTGGCAAGGAGGATGCTGCTAACAACTATGCCTGTGGCCACTACACTGTGGGGAAGCAAATCATCGATTTGGTGATGGAGCAAATCCGAAAAGTGGTGAGTGGCACCAGGTTCCCCTGGCACCTGCAGGACACTGCATCCTTAGCCTCCCTCCCTGGCCTGGTACAGGAAGGGGAACCACAGCCTGAGGCTGGTACCTGACTCCATTCCTCTGTCCTGTTGTCCACTCAGCTTCCCCTAGGGGGCGCTCTGTGTCACATCCTGGGAGGGGATCTAGGGCTGGAGCCTGAAGAAGCTGCTCT